CTTTATTTCTGTGTCTCACCTAATCAAATAGTGAAATAAGCAATTTTAGGATCTTATCACTTAACCCAGTATCAACCAAATGGGCCAAATTCCTAATGACATCTGCCATGCTTCTGCCTATGTCAAATCCAGCTCAAGGCAACTTGACAAAATTGACTTTCTAATTGTGTGTGAGATGAAGCTACTTTGTTGATTATCCCTGATGTATCTGAAATCATCATGTGAGTTAGTATTGTGGTGAAGCAGGAATAAGTGTACCTATTGTCATTTTGAAGATTAGTGACTAAACCAGTTTAACATGTTGGGAACGGTTTCTTGTGTCAAAATCCTATCTCTTTTAAAAAGCTAATTTATCTAGCCAACTCCAGATTCCTTGTAAGTCTGTAGTAAGTTTTTTTTTGCTTCTACTATCAAAAATTAATAATGGAATCTTTAGAAATTGTTATTATAATTTTTTCTCAGAAATAGGATTTAAAAATTCTCACCAGTGAAATACCATATTTACTACCATGACTACTTACCAACTCAGCATTGTTCTCTGTGAGTTTATAATCATAGGAGTAAGGGTAGAGCATCATTTGGGAGTATGAGTGGATCGTCAGATATGCTTTGATGGAAGAGAGGTTGCTGCGGATGAAATTAGCCAGAGCCTTTGTCTCTCTTTCGGATTCTGCAGCAGGTCCACAGTAAGTTTCATCACAGGGGCTTCGAGAAGCTCCCATTTCTAGAAAAACAGGTCGTTAATGGAATGGTCACCTCCTGAAGTTATCACAAGGCATGTTTCAAACTTTCAAATTAGAAAGTTAAAAATAAGCTGTTTTCACAGGAGTCCTTATGATAATGTATGTATATATTATAAAGCATGCATGCATTTAGTCACAAGATTAGGGTGGTATGTTTTGAAGCTAATGGGGTAAAAGTCATCAGTGTGTCCCTGTGTAGTAATATACAATGAGATCAATATAGTGTAAAATGATTAATAAGTAGGGGACAAATAAATATCCGTGAGAAATTTCCTTATTATTGTAATCATTTTCTGAGAGTTGAATCACAAAATTAGAATTATATCACCATTTCATTTAAATAATTGTTTAATGACTGTGTCCTCTGGATTATACATTTTGAAGTAGGAGGATTATGTCTGGATCACTCAGTCTTGTGTGTCTAGCATCTAACACAGCTGAGAGCACAATAGAGCACACAATACATTTTTTTGAGTGAATAAATAAACTGTTTATTGTCTGTGCTTTCAGAAAGTTAGAATTCTAAAATATAAAACTTTACATTTTTTCTTGTTTTGGGCACTGTTGTGTTTTCCTGTGTTATTTCTCCTCCTGTGCTTTTCAACAGATGCTTGCAAAATGGTCAGCCAGATACTTACTGCACCAACCAGCATCAAAATTTCTATTGGGGTCTGTGCCAGTGCAGGTAGTTCCAGCCTGGGTGGAGCGCGTCTTTCTCCACATTCGGTTCTGAAAGTGGATTACGTGGTTAGGCCAAGTATAAAAGAAAGTGGGTTGGTTTTAATTTCATCAACCTCTCTCAATATTGGTTCATATACCGGGGCGCCTGGGTGGCTCAGTTGGTTAAGCGACTGCCTTCGGCTCAGGTCATGATCCTGGAGTCCCGGGATCGAGTCCCGCATCGGGCTCCCTGCTCGGCGGGGAGTCTGCTTCTCCCTCTGATCCTCCCCCTCTCATGCTCTCTGTCTCTCATTCTCTCTCCGTCAAATAAATAAATAAAATATTAAAAAAAAAATTGGTTCATATACCTTGGTCCAGGTGTAGACGTAGCCATCGATATTGAGCACAGGCAAGACATAAAAGTCTAACTTGTTGAGAAGTTCTGTCATGTGGATCTCATGTCCATAGGTGCGAATAGCCTATGTATGAATTAGGAAGAGAATGTCATGGAAAAATAGAATGCGTGATGCTACTTAAATTTACATAAACTGGATGAATATTGACTTGGTAATGAAAGCCATGTCCCCTATTGAGGTAGACATTATTAATATTTAAAAGGCAGTTAGCAAAATATTACCCATAGTTTTGGTTAAAATAGTTGTTTTTAATTCTTCTCTATTTCCAGGATATTCTATTATATCCATATATAACTCACATAATTATTTATTTAACTTTTTACTTTAAAGATGAACAAAGATTTAATAAAATTATAGACTTTTAAGAAACATACATATATTCACTTATTTTGCAATAGTACTGCAATAATTGTTTTTCAAAGTAAGTAGGATATGAGGGTAAGACCTATTCTTAGTAAGTAAGGAATATCTATGGATGGCTGTGCATGTTTCTAATATCATCTAGAAATTTATTTAAGTTTTGTGAAGCCGCCTATAGATGGTCTCACTAGAGAGACTGTCCAATAAGGAAAAAGAATGAGAAAGCCTCCCATTATGAAGTGAGCTCGCACTGATAGATTTTGGGTGGCTCTCACCAAGGCTCCAGGCTGCATAATGTGAAAGTATCTTTCTTACTCCTCTGTTGAGTAGGGAACCCTGTTAAGAGACCAGTTCTCCCTACTAAGTATTGTGGACATTTCTCTATGAATGAAGGACTTCATGCTCATTTATTATGTTCTCTTAGTCATAGTTCCTCAGCCCCAGGATCATATTAAACGTAAATTCAACTCTTTCCTAGGCTTTTTTGAATAGATTTTAAAATATTTAAGTCTTCTATGTATTAATAGTTTTTATATACTTTTTGTGACATGTATATTTATTATAATAATACATGATAAAATAAGTGATTTTTAGGCTGGGGGAGCTATAGAACCATTAGACCATGGTCTAATCTTGGAGATAACCAAAGTAGTGATAAAAGTTTTTTCCTGGGGTGCCTGGGTGACTCAGTCGTTAAACGTCTGCCTTCGGCTCAGGTCATGATCCCAGGGTCCTGGGATCGAGCCCCACATCGGGCTCCCTGCCTGGCGGGAAGCCTGCTTCTCCCTCTCCCACTCCCCCTGCTTGTGTTCCTGCTCTCACTATCTCTCTCTGTCAAATAAATAAATAAAATCTTAAAAAAAAAAAAAAGTTTTTTCCTTCTAGAGGGCAGATGGTGAGATATCCATTGAAGTTAAATGGTTATAATTGGATACATAATGTGTCTAGAAACCAAGACCATGACAAAGAGATACAGAAGTGTTTCACACAAAATACAGTATATTGTATATAATAATGTGCTTATATTTTAAAAGTACCTCAATATTTTAAACTTCTAATTTTGCAGTAATTTTAGACTTAGAGAAGAGTTGCAAATACAAGGAGTTCCTATATATTCTTCACTTAGCTTCCCCTAATGTTATCATCTTACTTAGCCATGGTACAGTGATCAAAGTGAAGGAATTAACACTGGTACAATAATATAAGTTAAACTATAGGTTTTATTTAGAGTTCACCAGTTTTTCCACTATTATCCTTTTTCTGTTCTAGGATTCAGTACACAATCCCACATTGCACTGGTTGTCATGTCTCCTTAGTCTCCTCTTATCTATGAGAGTTCCTCAGTCTTTCCTTGTCTCTTATGACTTTGACACAATTGAAGAATACTGGTCTGGTTACTTTGCAGAAGGTCCCTCAATTTGGGTTTGTCTCAATATTTTTTTTTATGATTAGAGGAAGGTTATGAATTTTGAGGAAAAATACCATACAGACGGTGTGTCTTTTTAGTACATAATATCAGGGGGTACATGATACTGATTATGTCCTAATGCTGGTGATGTTACCAGTGATGTTAACCTTGATCACTTGGTTAAGTAGTTTCTGCTAAGTTTCTCCACTGTAAACTTTGCCTTTGTTAAGTAATACATTTTTTTTTTGGGGGGGGGGATACTTTGAGACTGCAAATATTCGATTTGTCTTTAAACTTTTACTCAATATTTGCATACATACATAGGTTTTTGTGAAATGATTATTACTGTGGTGTTCTACTGATAATTTTCTAGTTTGTTCATTCTTTGTACATCCATTAGTTGTAATTCTTTAAGAAAGAGTTGTTCCTTCTCACCTTTTTATTTATTAATTGAATAATTTATCTATATCAATATGGGCTCATGGATATTTAAAAACTTCAGCTAAAGGGCTTTCACATTTATCATTAGAATTATAAGGAATGAAAAACAGTATCATTTACAGTAGGGACTGCTATGTATTGTTTTCTTTTTTTTCTGAGGTATACAATGATTATTTTTTAGGAGATAATGATCAAGCTAGTGGCTTATCCACAATCTTTAACTTTTAAATGATCTATCATTTATACTGCTGGTTAGCCTCTCCACCGAAGGTGGGTGATAAAGTTCAGATGAGTCAAATATAAATAAATACAATTTGGTAACTGTTTTAAAATCTTACCTCATAAAGGTCTCTTGGGGAAAGTTGAAATTAATACCCAAAAATGGGAACTTGGGGAATTACGAGGTTTTTTTGTGTTGTTATTCTCTTTTATTATAGCTAGATTATAAGAAATTGATTTAAATAAAATGCTTTCTGCTTCCCTTGGCCAAAAATGATTCTACATACTGACCTCTCTCACAAACCACTGGCAAAATGCAGGGGAAATCCATTCTCTGGCATGGAAACCACAATCCATGAAAATGGCAGGCTTATTTGGTCCAGCTTTGCCAACCTATTGCAAACAAAAGGAAAAGGGAAATTGTGATTCATCACAGTCAGGGGTTAACATTCACTACCCGTCTGGGTGTTGGATTCAACAGGTGAAACTTGACAGCAGCAAGAGATATATCCCATGATTAAATTAAAACATAAGACTAGCACAGTATGTTCTTGCCTCTAGACACAATGTTTGAGATGAAGGCTTACATGGCTGTTTATTATTTTTATTAAGCTTGACAAGCTCATATTTTCAGAAGATGCTGATTACCCTGCTTAATTGTACTCACGTGGAGGTTATTTTCAGCTGCTATTATTAGGTGACATGACCAAGACAACTGGATGAGTAATTAGAAGTAATCATGATTGTTGCTAATCTTGTAAGAATTTTTCCTTCTCTCCCACTTACTCCTTGTCTTTTTATTTTCTTCATTAGAATTACATGACAAAAATGGCATTAGAGGATGACAGAAACAAATCATTGATACGCTCTGTAATGTTGTCTGATAGACGTGAAGTTTATGAACCTCTTTAGGAAATGGATTTGCAAACAACATCTGGGAGAGAAGAATTTCATCAAGGTAGGTGATCATTTACATTGCTTACAGGAATGTGGTTAAATTTATAGGACTTCTCTTACTTTACTGCATTTTCCTTTTGAATAAATCAAAATAATGATTTAAAAATCCACATATGATAAAAGAAGCTGGGGAATCTGTTTGATTCCCTGGGGCATATAGGCAGGGAAAGAGTTATAACAATGTTTGGGATGAGCATGTCTGTGAAACAGATGTTAATGTGTTAGAATTCATTGATTTAAAGCCCTCAGACATGGCAAGGTCGTGGGTAAAAAGGATTACCTTGAGGAGGTACATAGTGCGTCCTTCAAATGTGCTTCCGATGGCACTGCGAGAGATGAGGCCTGGATTCTCACTGGTGACTTGTTGAGTCCACGCCTCTATCTACCAATGCAACCATTTGTGGATTAATGTGCTGTTCTTAGTTCAGTTCCCACAGCAATGTCTGTCTAAGTCATGTGCACATCATACCGTTTCCCAATTGTTGTACTTCTTGTAACTGTGTCCAGTTGCACGGACCTGGCTGTCAAACTGACCTTCCAGCACAGATCTCAGGTTGCTTATCAATACCCTGTAATAAACCAAAGGAAGTGCTCCTGTGAACGTACGAGTATTTCCCAGTGAACATATGCAAAAAACCAGAGTCACTGCTTCAGTAAATCCTGCAATACATTCTCCATGGAATCACATGTGTCCTCTGAGTGTTCCTGATGCCCTTCAACCTGAGCTGCTCATCACAAAGAGTGAATATATCATTGGAGAGTGCAAGCAAGGCAGGCCCTTTCTCAGCCTAAACTTGACATATTTAAGTGTCCTTGGACCCTAAATTCAGAAAATGGTTTCCTCTGGTACCTGGGGCATTCTGGAACAGGGCCTTGGGCCTTGGGCTACCACACAAAGTATGCACTTGAGCCCTATCTGTGGACTTTCTTCCTCAGGACTTTCCTGGTTTTAGCACTAAATGTCCCATGACATGTCTCATGTTCCAGGAACCAGTCAGTCCCAGGTAAACTGGGACAGTTGGTCATTTGAGGGCCTTTATCTAGGTTTTGAGAAAAATATCTTGAAAGGTGGAAATTCAGAAATATTAATAAATTAAACATTCATTAGGCAAAAAATGCTGGGTTTAAAGAACTAGTTTCTGCTTGCTTGTCTTTTGGCTGGTTTAAAGTAATCAAAGAATGGTTCTGAAGCAAGGCAGTATGAAAATTGGTGACAGACCTTTGAGGCCTGCTTATTTCCATAAGTGATTGTTCAGGTGAAAGTTTCTATTATAAAAGGCAGGCCAGAAGGTGTGGACATGTGTGACTTCATTTGTCTTTGCTACTGTTGAGTGGAAAGTATGTTCTGAAAGGACAAAATTTTATGAACATTAATGTCCTTGATCACAGCATTGTGAATATTATGGACAGAAGCTAGTTTTCAGAAACTTCTATTATCCACAGTCAAGCCTTGAAATGTTTTTATCTGCACACAGAGAATTGCAGCCACACATCAAAAAGTCTACTTCTCCTGTGGCTGCCCCAAGGGCATTCTGATGAAGTATGTCAGGGACATCCTCTGAACCTCCCTCCTGGTCTCTCCTTCATTTGGTTAACTTGGGAACGAACTTGTGTCTGTTTATGGAAAATGCAATAAATTAATACTAAATGATATTTTCTTCCTAGCAAGAGGCAAATACTATCTTAAGGTCTTAACTGACTTAAGGTGGTATTAAAAATGAAGGAAAAAGGAGCAGATTAAAAAATTTAGCTTGTGGAAAGAAAATTTCTCCTTGAGCAGCCATTAGTACTTTGTTGGTGTATTCGTTTCTATGGCTGCTGTAAATTACCACAAATGTGGTGGTGTAAAACAACATGAATTTATTATTTTACAATTCTGTAGGTTAGAAGTCCAACACGGGTCTCAGTGGGCTAAAATCAGGGTGTCAACAGGGATGTGCTTCTTTCTAGAAGCTCTAGGGGAGAATCTGATTCCCTGCCCTTTCCTGCTCCTAGAGGCTTCCCACATTCCTTGGCTCTTTGCCTGTCTCTTTTGACTTTGAAGCCGGCAACAGCAGCTTAAGTCCTTTGCATGTCACATCACTCTGACCCTATCTTCTGCCTCCCTCTACCACTTGTAAGGACCCTGTGATCATGTTGGACCTATGGACAATCTAGGATAATCTACCTATCTACCTACCTACCTATCAGCTGTTTAGCAACCTTAATTCCATCTTTAAACCTAACTCCTCTTTGCCATGCAACATGCCATATTCAGGTATTCTGGGGATTGGGATGTAGACATTTTGGGCAGGACCACCATTCTGCCTGCTTCAGTTAGCATTGTTACTATAACAATGATTATAGTAAGTGCTATAATTATATTCAACACCCTAACTGGATTGTTAGGGGATAGGACAGAAGAAGAAATCCAGAATTAGGAATCAAAAGGTCAGGGGCCATAGTTTTGCCTAACTTGTAAACTGGCTTCAGAAAAATCATTTAATCTCTGGGCCTTACTTTTGTAATTTTTAGAATGGAGCATTTGATTAGCTGGTATTAAATGTCCTTTTCAGTTCTAAAATGCAGTGACTTGACTCAAATCTGTAGGCCTTGGTCATAGTTGTCTTTCAAGGTTTATGAAAAAAATTTAAACTGAAATTTCTGGTGACCATAAACTTCATAAACTCCAGGAAACACCTAAAATAGATAGTTTAGAAAAATGATTTTCAAATATATCATTCATAAAAACTAAAAACAAAAAAAACTAAAGCAAAATAAGCAAAACAAAAACGTAAAAACAAAAAAAATCGACTGGTCAAAATCTTTTTTTAAAAAAAATTTTATTATGTTATGTTAATCACCATACATTACATCATTAGCTTTTGATGTAGTGTTCCATGATTCATTGTTTGCATATAGCACTCAGTGCTCCATTCAATACGTGCCCTCTTTAATACCCATCACCAGGCTAATCCATCCCCCCACCCCCCTCCTCTCTAGAACCCTCAGTTTGTTTCTCAGAGTCCATAGTCTCTCATGGTTCATCTTCCCCTCCGATTTCTCCCCCTTCATTTTAGCCTTCCTACTATCTTCTTCTTCTTTTTTTTTTTTTTAACATATAATGTATTATTTGTTTCAAAGGTACAGGTCTGTGATTCAACAGTCTTACACAATTCACAGTGCTCACCATAGCACATACCCTCCCCAATGTCTATCACCCAGCCCCCCCATCCCTCCCACCCCCAACCACTCCAGCAACCCTCAGTTTGTTTCCTGAGATTAAGAATTCTTCATATCAGTGAGATCATATGATACATGTCTTTCTCTGATTGACTTATTTCGCTCAGCATAATACCCTCCTGTTCCATTCACGTCGTTGTAAATTTGGCCAAAATCTTAAACAAAACAGCTATATTCCAAAATCATCAATTTGAAAGAACAAATGCTGTGTAACAAGGATGAACTTTTCTGGCTGAACTTTTCTTGAACTAGAACTCCAAGAGAAAATGGTAAATGACATCTACTTTCTCTTTAATAAGATTTTTCATTGTCAGTGAGCAAGTACAATATCACCTAGGTCACATGGCTTGTTAGTGGGTCCCCAGAGAAAAGAAATCATCACTTAAATGCTCCCAGGCATTCCACAGCTTCAAGACCTTCGATAGACAACTGGATCTAAGACCATAACCATGGGAAGCTCTGATCTATCAGGAACAGGCTCTGAATAGAGGGGGCAATAGACCGTCCACAGAATATTGCTATCCTTTCTCTGCACCTAATACTCAAATTCACATAATTTAGGAGAATCAGTGACTATGTACGGATTAGTGTTTTGTTTGGTAGTTAGATGAGACATTCTGTTAGAGTTATTACTATGTTAACTATTAAACCTTTACATCAATAATTAGGACAAAGAAGCATAAAAAAAACCTGTTAAATTTAAGATGACACCCAGGAGTAAAAGTACCCTCTAGTAAGTTGCAAAAGAGCATCAGAATGAGGTTGAATGGAGCACTGGGTGTTATACACAAACAATGAATCATGGAACACTACATCAAAAACTAATGATGTCATGTATGGTGATTAACATAATAAAAAACTAATGAGGTCATGTATGGTGATTAACATAACATAATAAAATAAAATTAAAAAAAAAAAGAATGTGGTTGAAATGTGGTGCTGACTTTTGCCTGAAGGTGGGGGATTGACCTCAAATGATCCTTTCTAGCCTTGTGATTATTTGATTTTATTAGATTTAGGATAAAGCACTACTTTAGCTATATTACAAATATTATTACTAAATAATGAGCTTCTATTCTAGGAGATTAAAACAATGCCTCTTAATGTAATAGGGACTGCATTACAGCTCCAAAATACAGAAGCGTGTACACTATTTTATACTTTTATATGTTCCTTTTAATAGTGCTCCCCAACTTCTTTTTTATAAAAATGCAGGCGAATTAGATAACAGGGACTCCCAACAAAATAACGAAGAGAATGTCTGAGAAGGAGAGGCATGACTTACTTTTTCCCCCCTTATAGATTGTTGAACAAGGAGTATTTGGTTAGTTCCTCTACTACATGACCATTGCTAGTGAAGAAGACTGTTATGTACCCATTGCTATCCAAGGACACGTTCCTGTCTTAATTTGAAATACACAGAAAAATAATGTTATAGGAAGTTATATTAGTAACAATCAGTCTCTCCCTGGATTGCATAGGGCAAAGACAACCTTCCTGCAATTTGTAGGAAGGTATTCTGTGAAAGCCTGTCTACCAAAAAGGTCTGTTAACGGCTTCAGAACAGTAAGTTGGAGATTTACACCATCCAGTTCCTAGTCTTTCTGTATCTAAGGGTGCAGCATAAGCATAAAAATACAGTTATTTTTCTTGGTGCACACATTCTGAATTTTTCCCCATGGTAACTCAGAAACTGGTTAAAGCTGCCAAAGTGATACAAGTCTTGGTGAAGAGGGATGGAACCATGGAAAAATCTGCAAAGCTATTTTGGTGGAACTT